TCTCTCTCTCTCTCTCTCTCTCTCTCTCCCTCTCTCTCTCTCTCTCTCTCTCTCTCTCTCTCGTGAGGTTTTCTTTGAATAATACAAGAATGTAACACGGAATAAAAATCCGTCCACTTGGGTGCATTCCACTGTGAAAAGACAGCGGGTCTTTGCTGCAGACTTGAGTAATCTACGGTAGACAGGAGACCCAAGCTGCAGCATAAAACTTGATTACATTACTCTGACACAAAGTCCGTATCAGGAAAACTGATGCTCATCTCAAATCCAACCTCCTGGCGCCATGCAGGGCAATATAATACGCGGCATAGGGTTGAAATCAGGCACTCGTCGAAATAACGACTACTGGAAAAAAAAGCATTTTTATTGTTTGTTGCTAGTTTTAAAATTTTTATGGACATTTTGTCTTTGGATTAACACATTAAATTTGCAGTTTCCAAAGACACTCAAGCTTTGGATGTCACCAAATTTTAAGGCCATTTTCCGGCTATTTCAACCTCTGACACCAAGTGACCCCCACCTCCTTCAATTGCAAATGTATGGACTTCTTTTAATGATAGGTGGCTATTTTTTCATAAAATGAAAGACACGTAATATAGTCTTTAGGAATAATGTACAAATAACTCCGTATGCCCTAAATTTAACGAGCGCTTGATTCCACCGTGTTGTGGCACAAATTAAAATGTTATGGTCTTTGCTCGGCGCATTATCAGATTACATCAAAACGTTCTTTTGTGAAGGTTAGTGTTGTTTAGAATTCGGTATTTTTTTTTAATGGGAAAACTGCTTTCCACATCTATTAATTAATATTTTAATAGATGTTTGTCATCGGCACAAAAACGATTATTTAGTGCTCAGGAAAAAGTAAGAAGGACAAACAGAAGCATCAGAGGTGATGAAAAAAGTATAATCTACCATTGAGGTTCTTCAACCACTTAACTGTATGTATAATATTAGATTAAATTAGATGCTAAGCTTACTAAAAATCTTAGAGATAATATTAGCACATAGAATGTGTTCTTGTTGTTCGAAAATGAACAAGGCGTAAATGGAGTGAAGCACATGTCGCAAAGTACACCATTAAGTTGTTTGTTTTCGAATAATTTTTATTTTGCTGAGTTTTCTTTTTTGTTTTTTTTGTTGATGGGGTTATTTACTCGTGCGTTTCTTGTTTGAGAGTATGACTTGGAAAAAATGGGGAGGAGTGGGATGAAGGAGTGCTGGCTTTGAAAAGGAAGAAACTTGGCTCACCTCTACGGCATGTTTTTCTCACACACATACAGCAACTGAAGTTGTAGCTTTTTTACCGATGTGAGTGGATGGAAAAAATGAGCTGAAATTCTTCCTCAGAGACAATTTCTAAGTAAGTTCTTGTGTATGATGTGCGTGCATACAAAGCAAACTGATTTTCTACGTTTGGTATAGAACGGTTCAGGTTTAACGCTTTTTCCGATACCGTGAAGTTATTGGTGGGGGGAGGTAGAACTTCTGAATTCAACGGTCACCTCCGATAAGGCTTTTAAGTGAATGGCAAGTCTTGGCAACTCCCCAAACCACATGAATTCATGAATACCCAGCTGGAGATTCGAATCAGTATTAATAGCATGGTATTCGGCTACGATACCAGCTTGATATCACGGCACCCTTTTGATTGTATGATTTCACAAGGTTTAGTTTCTGCATAATGAAAGGGAATTGGCACCCTGACTTTTTGCGGACCACCATCTCTCCCCCCTCCTCCACACACACTTATATTTCCCCTCTTTTTCTTTTAGAAACTGTGTGTTTAAGTTACGGTGCGGTAGTGTTGCGAGGTGATATCTAGGCATTACTTAATCATCCGTAGTGGTATTGTTAATGTAGATGTCTGTCTGTCTCCATTGACACAATCTTAATCATTTAGGAGGCTGTCAGTGCCAATCCGGGCAGAGAGGGATACACCATCCCAGCAGAAAGACTGAGATACTCAATGAAAAGTTTCCCCCACTTGGGAATCGAACAAAGGCCATCTGCGTATGACAGCGAAGAACCTAACAATAATGACCGCGAAGAACCTAACAATTACACCAGAGACACTGTTTTCATAGTAGTGGCCTTTTTTCATGGAGCACCTCCATTCTTTTGAGTGTCAAGATAACGCATCCGTCATTCCCGTCCTCTCGTAGACGTGGGTATTCAGTCAAGAGAAAATAAAATTGTACTTGCACTATAATAAACACAACATACAATATTTAATTGTGAGTAAAATGCTGTGCAAATGACGGAGTGAAGATTGATACGGTGATAGAGTTTGATTGTAACGTGTTCGTAAGTATGTTGGTCCACATCGTCAACATATAGATCTAGATCATCAAAGAGGTGAGCTGCTTCGACCTGCCTCAGGGACTGTAAGAGGCAAAGTCACAGACAGAGGGAGATACAGGACAAATTAATCCCCCCCCCCCCCACGCTGGAATCAAACTCCCATCTTTTGCGTACAACGGCGAACTGCCTATAGATCTAGATCTAGCAATAAAGCTACAGCAGAACAAAACAAAACAAAAAGAGGGGGAGAGAGTGGGATGGGGTGTGCTCTCTGTAGACACAGAGCCATCAACTGTTCAGCAAACAACCTAGTGCTTTCTTTGAATGCACGACGAAAGTGGTACGGATAAACATCAAAAGTAGTCTACAGTCTTTAAGAGATTTTAAAAAGTATGATTACGCTCAGCAAACACATAAAGAGGTTTCTGACGTCACCTACCTGCTTCTTGTTCGGCCCAACGTTGGAAGATTTGCAAATCTCAGGTACAGACGAGCAGCCTCTCTCTCCCTCTCACTTTTTCTCCTTCCCTGTTTGTCTGTCAGTAAATTCTGTTCACACCTTTATTTGCTCAAGGATTAAAATTGAAACCACTAGTAGCCTCACACCGAAACCCAATGTGGGTTTTTTTACGTTTTTATATTTCGTTTTCCCCTTTAATTTGGCTTTTGACGCGTTTGCTAAAGAAAGAATGATGTCTTTTCCGAAACAAAACTATCTTCACCTCTCTGCAAACGACACATTACTCGAAAGCCAAGAAGGTGAAACGCTAGTCTCTTGGCCTGAACGCATCTGAATACAGCTAATGGCTTAGTTGAGGAATGCGATTTTGTTTTACTTTGTCATTTTGTCAGTTACAACATGCCCGCGGAGCTCTGCACAACTATAATGTTTTGAGAGAGAGAGAGAGAGAGAGAAAGAAAAAAAATACTCGTATATTTACTACTTGCTTTTTGGCCCTTCTTTTGTTTTTTCACGAACGTTTTTTTTTTCCTTTTTGGTCTAATAAGTGCAGTTAATTCCTTTGCAAACCGTTCTTTGGTGTCCGTTTTGCGGATCCAGACTACCAGGAAGGCGATTTTATAGTATTCCGTGGAGAATTATGGGCCTCGTTGTCGCCTCCGCGCACAATGGGGTCACGATATACCTCGCGAGGAGGCGGGTAGATTCCTGTGTGACGTCACATACCCAGGAAATGACTTTCGTACAGTACACGGATACCCTTATCTGGTTTGAGAGTCTCTCAGTGATCCGTACACCCACGGTGGACACGGGTAGGGGAAGAGAGGGAAGAGTAAAGGCGGGACTAGGTCAGGGAAGGACGGGAGGGGCAGAAAGAGAGAAAGAGAGAGAGAGAGAGAGAGAGAGAGAGAGAGAGAGAGAGAGAGAGAGAGAGAGAGAGATTAATTGCAGAGACAGAGACCGAGAAACAGAGAGAGACAGAGAGAGAGAGAGAGAGAGACAGAGAGACAGAGAGACAGAGAGACAGAGAGACAGAGACTAAGAAGCAGAGAGAGAGAGAGAGATATATATATATAAAGAGAGGGACAGAGAGAGAGAGAGACGCACACACATACACTCACACACACACACACACACGCACACACACACACGCGCACACACGCACACACACACACACACACACACACACACACACACATACACACATATGCAGATCGAAGAAGGAGCGAGAGGGGGATGAAAAGGAGACTTATCAATATGGGAAGGCGGTATGATTGAGAGGTCCACAGTAAAAAGAAACAAATAGGTTGGAAGGGGGTGAGGGATGAGTGTAATACGATGAAAAAATAATAAATCTTTGAATTGTTTCAAATATGGTAAACAAAAAGGCCTTCACGGTTATGGCTAAAATATGCGGGTGCATAAACCTCGAGGACAGATTTATGTATATATTATGTATGTGTATATTTATATATATATGTATATTATATATATATACATATGTATATATATATAATATATAAATATGCATATGTATGTATTATATGTATATATATATATATATATATATATATATATATATATATATATATATATATATATATATGTGTGTGTGTGTGTGTGTAAGTACATATATATACATATATATGTGTGTGTATATATATATATATATATATATATATATATATATATATATATATATTTATGTTTAACTATATATGTATATATATTGCGTATGAAATATTGCTATAGACTTGTTATGATTCATAGCAGATCGTGACCTTATGCCAGTTCAGTTCATATTTCGCAGAGCAGAGTCAGTCACCGTGACCACTTATCGTGACAGCCTGTACTGTTTTGTTCGTCATTGCAGACGGGTAGCTCTAAGCCTTTACCGTCCCTAAGTGTTACTATACTTTTATATCCTAATTTGAGAAGTTTAAGGTTCCCATACTGGCAGAGTGTCTTTGCTGCTGTAAGCCCAAAAATATCGCCTTTGTTTTTTTGTTCGTATTTGTGACTAAGTTTCTTCTGTAAAGGGTGAAACGTTTAAACAAAGTACGAAAATCAATCATGTATTTTGACTTTTATCATTTTACCTCAAACATAGGCCCGAGGTCAGTTTTTCTCTTCTGGCAAGCAGTGCATTTAGCTTACACTTGGCGAGTAAGCAATTTTAGAGTAGACTTTTTATTCGCCAATTTAAGCGAACAAGTACATAGTACACGTTCTCCCATTCATGCTTTGACTAACAAGAAAATGTTGAAATCTTATCTTCCCGGCGGATGTTAGTCTAAAGTCACGCCGACCAACCTACACAAACTTATTATCTTCTCGCTCTGAATACGCTGTACAGTTCCACAGTAGATGACGAAGTTTTCGGGTGGATTTCCAACGTTATATCCGGATCTGAGGGTGCCAGGCCGGGAAAAAATATTAATTTATATGATTCGTCAGTCGGGAGTGGTGAGTGGACACAAGGTGACCGCAGAAAGAAAGATGCCCTTCCCACATGACTGACTGAAGCTATAGGGTAGACGTTTAGTTTAGTTTTAATAAGTTTTTTACCGCACTTGCATTTACAATAAGGCCATATAAGTACCGAATATTAGAGGTGGTACAAGAGAGTAAAAAGGGAGGGGAGATAAAGATGATAAACTGTTGACAGGAATGAAGGAGCAAGCTACACCACTGCACATGCCGACCGAACAGAGAACATTAATATAAATTTTGAAAGCCTATGGTACAGCCAAGCACAAATAAAAGATGCTTATGTCAGGTTTATAATTAGGGTAAAGCTTACAAATCGTAAAAGTGTTTTTTCGGATGAGAGACGCCATAGTTCTTTTACTCAGCTCTGACCTCCTTTGAATTATTTGGATTATGTTTGTGAGTTGTTGTTAGTTTTTTTTACCTTTTGATTTACATCTCTTCTAAAATGTCCGAGATGCCGCGGATACGTTCTTTTTTGTGATGCTAAAGACTGAGGTTCCCAAGAGTAAAAAAAAAGTGAGTCTTGTCGGCATACACTAAAAAATATCTTAACCCTTATACTTATAGTAATGTTTCTATTCGGTGTCTTTGGAGTTGTATTTGTTATCATAGGTATTCAACTCTTAAAAGCTTCAACTTTTTCTTTTCAAATAGATGAAGTAAAATGTCTGCAAAAGACGTTGGTGTTGTAGTTAAGAAGGCGTATCACTGTACATGTATCTAAGGACACTGATTATCCTGGATTTTAACATTATTCCGATTTTTTTTTACGCGCGAAATAAACAACAACATGATAAGTAAGTCCAAACTAGAGTAGAAGAAGAAATTAAGTTTGCTGTTTTTAATTAAAGTGTTTTGTACGTCCTCATAGACAGAATTTAGATAATTTAAGAGGCAGTCATCCTGTCCTGCCCACCAGGGTCAACCAGGGCTGAGGGAGGGGGGGGGGTGCATCTTCTAGAACAACGACTGAGACACTCCATAAAAATAAATGTTCTCCGCCCTAGGGATTAGAGGAAGATATTGTTTTAACCAAAATATCAAACAATGTAAAGGTATGTCATATCACGTGGCAACTGGCGACCTAGTCGTCCAGGCAAGATGTGAACATGCAAACTGCACGTTCAAAATTGGATTCCTGGCTCTCTCTGATATAACATCGTATCATTAGACTTGCTTTTAGTTTTATTAAAAGTTTAAAGGCACTTACAGCACATTATAGGTCATATAAGTGTCTAGGACTAGAGGTGTTATAATTTAGGAGAGTTACATACAAAAAAAAGAAGCAGGAGAGATAAGGATGATAGATGTTTGATGGACCAGCCTGGGCGAACTACACCCGAGAGCTCAGCTACATCCCACCTTTGGACCTGTCTTATTTTTCTCTATTTATTATCTAGCTACATTGTTGTGGCCAGCAATGTCATGGGTTTTTCTTTTATATCGGTTGCATTTTGTTATAATATTGTACAGTATGTTACATTTCTGTAACCTTTGCACGTTTTAAAATAAAACACATTTCACACGCTATTGTGCGGGCATCTTTGGTGAAGCGGTTACTTGCTTCGTCGCCGCACGCAGGAGACTCGAGTTCAACATCCGAGTGAGGAGAAGTTTATCGGATCTTTTTGCCTTGGTTGATCTTGACAGGCACAGTCAAAGTCTGTGCACAGCAAACTGTATTCTCTAAACCCCTGAAAACGGGATAGGCCCACCAGGACCAGGTATCCCCCCTCCCTACACACACACACACACACACACACACACACACGCACACACACACACACACACACACACACACACACACACCACCACCACACCACATCACACCACATCACACTTACGAGCCCTTATTATTTTATTTTTTAAAAGTCATTACCGGGAATCAAGCTCAGACAACTGGAGCCATGAACAAGACATGGAAGATATGAGTTATGCACGCAGAACATAATTAGGGTTTTAGTACCAATTTTGCGAAATGCGTGCCTAATAGACTCATCAGGTAGCGTTATCTGTATTACTACCACCAACACTGCCTCTCTTTTTAAACGTATTGGTTATTTTTTTGTCTCCATTTATTTTGTGTCTCTCCTTTTTTTTTTATAGACGACGCTTTACTTTGAAGCATATTTCTTCTCACAGTTACAAACTCGGGAACTGGACAAGGGATAATAATAAGAAGAATAAGAATAAGAATAAGAATAAGAATAAGAATAAGAATAATACTGATGATGATGATGATTTTTTGTTTTGTTTCCTTGATGGGCCTGACGGACTTCACGAAGAAATCTTCGAGCGAGAGCGAGGCTCTTTTTCGGCTCCATTGTCAATAATATGCTTAGCGGCACCTCCACTCGTCCAAATAACTCCATTCGAATTGCCATTGTTCCTGGACATTCAAACATATGTTGGACATCCTCCTTTTCATGGCCGCATCTTCGGCAACATGGGCTGAGCTCTTCATTTACAAAGTTCTTATACCATCATAAACTCCAATGATGGTCCGACCGCAGTCTCGCTAGCTCAACCTGGTCCCAGCTACATGTGATAGACTTTTGTTCCCGCTAATAGGAGTACCCAGAATACACATCTTCCAGGTGCTGGTACTTAGTTCTACATGGTGGGTCTCTGATTTCCCTCTTGATCATTGGAAAGACTCCTCTGTATGTCATTGGTCGTCTGTCTCCTTCGATCTCTCTAGCTTCATTAGCAGCTTGGTCTGCTGCCTCATTTCCTTCTATTCCAACATGGCTTGGAATCTACTGGACTTTTATTGTGACTCTGGCTTCACTGAACTTGCTGCACAAATCATTCATGCCCGAGCTGTTGCCCAGAAGTCCCTTGCAGAGGGACTGACTGTCAGTCAAGATCAGCACATTGGTCCTACTGTGGCAATTGTCAGCAATCAATTGTGCAGCAAGCATCATTGCCTGGCATTCCTCGTCATAAGATGATGAAAGGAATGCACCTTTAGTTTTAATACTTTCTGTTCGTGGTGGTTCATCATTCATTATCACCACTGCTGCTGCTCCACCTTCGCGGTATCCTGCGACTGCCGATCCATCGGTGAAAATTGTCACATCCGCACCAACCTCTTTGATCACATCATCAGCTGCTTCACGCGCCTTTACAGGATCACCACCTTTTCCTTTTACT